CCACCCCCCAAAAAATCATTTCCCTCGCCCCCTTGACCCACCAGCCCCCAAGGGCCCCAACCCAGAAAAAAGGAGCACTTTTCTTTTTCTGAACTAGGGGGTGGTCCAGGCCACAGCATTGTCCTTCCCTGGCCAGGGGCACCCCCAACTCCAGGTCTGAAATGAACATCAGTCATGCATTCAAACACACACGTTCAAATACACATAGAAGCAGCATACACAAAGCATACTACTCACGACAAGAAGGAAGACCACAATGTAGAAAAATGGTGGCGGAACGCATTCACACATCCGTAGTATGATTGCTACGTCGGTTCGTGTGTGGACTAATGAAATGAACATCAGTCATGCATAAAAAGGATATAAACAAGTAACCCCCTCCCCCCCCCAAAAAAAAAAAATATATATATATATATATATATAAAAAGTTAAGTTAAAAAATAGTGGGGGGCCCGCAGCGAGAGCGCGCACCCCATGGCATAAAAGTCCAAAAGAGGTCAAATTTCCCCCCACCTCAGGGGTCCGGGGCGGTTGGTTGGGGATCTTTTTAGGCCCCTCGGAGTCCCCCTTCGGGGGAAGAAAAAAGAGTGGTTCCCCACATTATTCCTCGTGGGGAGTGCGGGGAAGCCCGAAAAAAACAAAAGCTGAAATTTGCACCCCCCGAGGAGCCCCACACCCTCGGGGGTGCAGGGATCTGGCATCTCCACGTGAATGTCCAGGTGTCGATAGACAACCCCGCTCACCCCCCAGGGATCCCCACGTGACAACACTGGTCCGGGCCAACCACAAGCCCCCCCCATCAGTCTTCACTGTCAAGGGGACCCTTTTATTCAGACCCCCCAAAAAAATGCAGGCACAAGGGCCAACCCCCCTCAGCAAGAGCGCACACCCAGAAACCTTGAATGCGGCCGATCGGACAGGCCGATCCCCAGCCGGAGGGACACGTAGGTTGCAGACAGTCTAATCATTTGCGAGCAACAGTCAAAGCATTTGCGAACAACGGTCCAACCATTTGCAAAAAGTGGTCCACTCATTTGCAAACTATCCAATCGGCACAAAAAGTGGTCAAATCATTCGCAAGAGCTGGTCAAATCAAAACGGATCCAATCATTTGCAAAGAGTCAAATCATTTGCAAAAACTCGTCCACTCATTTGCAAAGAGTCGACGACTGTCCATCAAATCATTAATTTTTCCCAAAAAAGGCTGAAAAAGGTGAAATCACTTCCAAATGGTCGTGGTGTGAGTATGTCCTCAGTCTGTCTAGTATATACTATGAAGGCATACTTCTTGTAAAAAAAAGTTCATACTTTTGTTTGGCTCTTTTTTTTCCATTCTACATCAATTTTGCTTACATCAATTTTGCTTCTAATCTTTGGGGGGATGACCCTTCTCGCTAACTCCAAAGATTAAGGCTCATTAAGCTAAGCATGACCCTTGTGAGGATGACACACACAACCCTGTTGAAGTCATATTGGAAGGATACTGTAATAGGGAATATAATTTTTTTGGCATGACCCTTACACAAGGATGACTGTGTCACATCAGTCAAGAAATGGTCCCAAAAAAAAAAAAAAAAAAAAAAAAACTCGACCATTTCTCGATTTATGTGTGTTTAACTCATCCTTGTCCAAAAAACCCGGAACGATAACCAACGGGCCTAAGCCCAGTTGGTACATGAACTGTTGACATACAGACCCGAGTTCAACTCCAGATGGAACCAGTTCAATCCAAAAAGAAATTAAAAAAAATCATTCTGAGTTATCCAGTGCCGGCCAATTCAAGATGACATCTCAAGAGCATCGCCGTCCATCGCCCTTCAGAAAAAAATGAAAAGTTTCAAAAAACGAAAAAAAAAGAATGGAACAACGATAAATAGAAGATTACCTTGGCAGTGTTCGCACCTGTGCAAGGAATGGATCAAATCCATGACAATAAAAAGATGTGGACCATTTCTCCAGCTATGCCTCTCGTCCTTGTTCCTTAAACTGCCAGTATCTTTGCCTCCCGTCCTTGTCCCTTAAACCGCCAGTACCTTCCCCCGCTATTAAAAAAAAGGTGTGTGGCGGTTCGCACGGAGGGCCTATGCCGGCCGCATCAGCCCGCCAAGCTTGGCGCACAGGGCCCACGGCCGACCGTGAAAAAAGTACAGGCGGGTTTAAATCACAAGTACACGGCCCCAATCTTGCAGTCCCTGCCAGTCCGAAACCTTTCGCCACAAGAAAACAAAGCCGAAACTTCAAATGCTCGGCCCGCCGTTGATAAATTTGATCGGTGGCGGCCTCGTTTTCGTTTTGCATTTCCAGAATTTGAGGTGTCAGACCCCCGGCCCATGTGCCCATGTACTGGTGGTTTAAAGTTGGAAAGATACAGAGAAGATTAGCTTGACCACTTTGCAAGGATAACAGGCACGAAAAAAGAAAAAGGAGCAGAAGAACCGAATACTTTATTTCAGGCTCAGTGCCCACAGCAAAAAGTAATAAAACATATATTATCGATATAAATCCAGTATCACACCGGGGCATTGTTTTATTTCACCCTGTTAAATCAAAGCCAAAGGGGTACCTCAGCCTGGGTTTGCTTTGGCTTTGACTAAGGGGAACCCGGTGAAGAGCCTCACACCTTCTACCTTAGGCCAAACTCAACCACCCATGCGCCGCACGGTGTGCGCCACGGCAGCTGCTCATGCGCCGTACCAGCGGCAGTTTCCCTTTTTTTTGTTTTCTTTTTTGCTGTCTTACATATTTTTTCTTTCAGAAGAGTGCAACATTCGTTTCCAAGTACGGTCGTACATATTTTTTTTTTCAGTCCAATTCGGCATGGGAAATAGCCTCAAAATTTCAAAAAGGTATCCAGGACATCAGTCTTGACTCTTCACCTTTAGGTAGTAGCATTACTCACCCACTGGTTCTTTTTTTTTTTTTTTTTTTCCCCATCCCACAACAAATCCTTTATGGGAAAATTTGCAAAATACCCCCATAAGGGCCATAACTTAGATATATCCCAAAATGCCCCTAAAAGATGTGGGTAGAGCGGTATGCCACTCTGACAAACAAAATATTTTATGAAATACCCTTAGCATCTGTTGGACCCCCATCTTTGCAATTTACCCCTACCGGGTAGCGTTCAGATTTGCAAAATGCCCCAGTACTCACCAACTTTTCCTAGGCGCTGTTGCAAAAGGCCGAGGCCCAAACGGGGAGCCGACGTTGCACACCCTCCTGACAGGGGCCCAAAAGGGCATTCCGCTCTACCCACATCTTCCATGGGCATTTTCGCATATATCTCAACTTATGGGGGTATTTTGCAAATTATCCCAACCTTTCATGGGAAAGCAGGTGACCCTTGACCCAGCCATGCGACCACTGTTTTCTAACTTTTCTTCTGAGTGAATATTTCCCCCGTGCGCTGTGCAGGTCCGCTCGTGCACCAAACGTGCGGAATTTTCCGCATGACGTCCGCTTGCATGTATGCTGCAGATACATGCACTGCACCAGGCAATCAACTACAGAAAACACCTACAACCTCGTAATTGTTTTTTGTTTAAAAATGCTTAAAGAAAGGCCACATCTCAGTCCCAATGTCGCTGATCATAAGAGTTCAATTAAAACTGGATGAAATACCACTTCGGAATGGCACAGAAGAATACAGCACCCCTTTAACATCCCTATGCCAGTGATCGCACTTCATCCTGGACATGTATGGCATTGTATCATGATGCCTCTCTAGAGTCTCTACATAAACCACTATAGTGGTTACCTTGTGCCTTCCCATTGTTCCCAATACTGCACCAGCCCACAATTACGAAGGCTGCCAGCACAGCCTAATCTGGCCTCAGGAAGATGTGGAAGACCATTGGAAGATGCAGAAGAAAATGTGCTTCAAGTTCGAAAAGAAGATGCAGCACAAAAATTTAACAGAAAAGAAATCCTCATCCGTCCGTGTCAATAACAAAATGCAAAAGGAATTAATTTATCTGCCCACATCAACCGGATATCCAACCCTCTCCTTTGGTGGCAGTGCACTCTTTTCCCTTTTCTTCCCCTTTGCTTCTCGTTCTCTCAACTTCTTGTCCTCCAAGGCTGTGTATATGTGCGTGCTTGCCACAGACACGCAGTGTATAGCAAAGGTAACAACACACCCACCGACATGCACACCCACAATCCCTCCCACAATCCCAAGCAGTGCCAACATCAGACCACAGGATGCATGCCAGACACTGTGAAAGCGCCCCTCTCTCTCTCTCTCTCACACACACACACACACACACACACACACACACACACACACACGCACACACCTCACACACACGCACACACAAACACCCACACAAAAACGCACACACACACAGACTCTCTCTCTCTCTCTCTCTCACACACACACACACACACCATACATCTGAAAGCCTGGACCCGATGGCAACACACACTCTCTCACACACACACGCACACTCGTCTCTCTCAATCTCTCTCTCTCTCTCTCTCTCACACACACACACTGTCACACATGACACACACACACACACACACACACACACACACTGCGACACACACACACACACACACACACACACACACATGTGAAAGCCTGGACCCGATGGCAAGAGACTTGAAGTATAGAAGCAGACCGGACTCGAAAGTGACTAGAATTAAACGTCATATGGCACATCCAAATGAACAGGCAAGCCTCTTTTGGGTTGCGTGAGGGCATAGTACTGCTGACTGAATCTGCAAGTAACTCCGCTCAGACACATCCACGTAAGTCACAGCGTGACAGGCATAGCATTGCGGACATACGGCCAAACTTCCCGGCCAAGTGCAAAACCGTAATTTTCAGATTGCTCAGAGTGACAGACATCAACTCAATCCGGAAAATTCCCTCCTCACATCCCCATCCCTCCCCTTCTCTACAGACTCTACCGCCTCAACTCAATGCCCAACATTTTTAGTTTTCAAACTGGCAGTGCCCAGATCAACAGACATCAACGCGTCCGCTCTACCAAACTTTCCCATAACACTTCGCTTTTCACCCCTCCACGCGTAAGAAACAAGTCACCATTCTTCGCATGCCCCCCCAGACTCTTCCACTCTCCTCCCTTTGCTACCAAAACCATCCGCTCTACCAACTGTTCCATGACACTTGAAACCGTCCGCTCTACCAACTGTTCCATGACACTTGCTTTTTGTAGCTCCATGCAACGCATGCGCGGGACACAAATCACCCCTTCTTCACTTGCCCCCCCATTCTCTTCCACTCTCCCACCACGGCATCAACGCACTTACCTCCCTCGTCACTGCAACGGTTCTTATGCGTAAGTTTTGTCCTCCCACAAAAGACAAAAAAGAACTATAAAGCATAAAGAAGAAAATTAAAACTCCTCTACCCAGATCTTCGGTGCAACCCATACTGTACAGACTGAGTGTGATTTAGTAGTGAAGGTGGCCCATTTAGGTGGATAGCAACGAGGGGTGGGGGGTGGGGGGTGGGGGCAGAGGTGGGAAAACGACCGGATAGGGTATCCTTCTGTACACTGTACAGTGTACAGTGTGATTTGGTAGTGAAGGCCTGACGTTCCTGCCTAAATGGGCCATCTTTCTGTGAAACCCTGACATTTATGCTTGTCCACTTGGGGCAGGGGAGGGGGGTGCAGAGGTGGGTAAATGACTTCGGCCAGCTGTGCCCATGTGGCTGATGCACCCAAGTTATTGCCCCCTCTAAAACGGTGAAGTTCGCAGTCTAGGGTCATCATATTCATGCTCCTTCAACAGCTAAATTTGCTAGCCTAGGGAAGGTAAACAATTCCACACATCTACATTGATTCTACAACACTGACCACCCAGAGGTCTATGCATACAGTGCTGATCGCTGCTCAGGAATATAAACGATATGTTATCACGGTGACCAGTCCTGATCTCTCTCTCTCTCTCTCTCTCTCTCTCTCACACACACACACACACACACACACACACACACACACACACTACACACACACACACACATGACACACATATGACACATACACATGACGCGCACACACACACACGACACAGACAATCCTCTATCACACTTCCTGCTAACATGCTGTCACCATGTACACTACCTACAAGGCTACAACTCATATGACGATATGAGGACTCGGGACAATCACGGATCTGCACAGTTTGAGGGGCTGAATTCCAGTTGAGTAGATTTCAATCGCACGGGCTAATAATACGACCGATCACTCCCTCGAGTCCCTCCAATCTGTTCTTTGCACACAATCCTATAACTGTTCTTTGCACACAATGCTATAATTGTTCTTTGCACGCGTAACGCGTTAGGTCAAACCGTCAAAGTAACTCTCCTCCAACTCTAAATGTTTTCTGTACTATATGCCCAAGTTGCAGTCCCGATTCGTTCAGCTGAAAGGGATGTCTGCTTGATGTTCCCATTTGGCTTGCATTGTGTGGTTGGGAGAATCTGATGTGGACCATGTGGTAATACTCTCCCAATTTGGCAAGGCTATGGCAGGTGACTCACCCTTTTCCACCGAGACCTATGGCATGGCCTATCTTTGATAACACTGACGGTTTCTCAATTTCCCCTTTCTCCAATATAGCTTCCGCTTTCTCCTCCGCCTGTGCAATTTTTTCGTCGAGTTCATGCATGACCGCTGCCTTCTTCTCCTCAACTTTCTGGTTTACTTTGGCTGTCGTTTTCTCTAGTTGCTCGAACGCCGCTGCCTTCAGAGTCTCCGCCTTCTCCACTTTCTCAGCAAGCTGGGCCTCTGCCTTTGCCACTTCCTTCTTCTTCCAAGCTACCGTCTTAATCATCTGCAAGTTCAAGTTCCACAGAATTTTCAATGCGACAAATTTCACGAAATTTTCAATGTGACAAAGTCACACAGTCCATTTCGACTCCAGTCTATCTGCCCACGAGGTTCACCATCCGGACTCTATCCGAGTACTATTTATTTATTTGAAATTATTTCGCCAATGATGCCAAGCCTCGGCCAAGGAACTGTGTCAAAAGAAGAACAGTCTGCAGGTCGGGAGGAGCCCCCGCATGTTCTCTCGTGAACACGGTTCTGGCTGCTACGGGGTTCCCGTATGCCTACAATTAGGAGTAGTGGTAGGTAGGTAGTGTGAGGTGAAAATTCCCATGAAATTGAGAGAAGAACATATCTCTTTTTTTTTTAAAAGAACAACAGTCTGTTACATATTAGGCTTATTACTAAGTTAAGTTATGAGCAATACAGTTTTTTTTTTGTGTTTTTATTTTTTATTTTTTAATGGCAATACCGTTACACATATTAGGCTTATTAGCAATACAGTTACACTGGTACAGTAGTGCAACGACAATTTACAAGCATCGCAACCGCTTTAACCACCAGACTCGCCAGCCCAGTACATTTCCCAGCGATTTTTCTACAGTGCGACTGCATGCATGCTACCGCCACATATTAGTGATACAGAGTACGGTAACCGTAAAAACAGTTCACAAGTATCAAGACCACTTAAAAACACTGGCATACATAGTACGCTAAGTACGGTAACCGTAAAAACAGTTAAGGTAACTGTAAAAACAGTTAAATTACAAGTATCAAGACCACTTGAAATCACTGGCATACATAGTACGGTAACCGTAAAAACAGTTTACAAGTATCAAGAGTCGAGACCGCTTGAAATCACTGGACTACATAGTACGGTAACCATAAAAACAGTTTACAAGTATCAAGACCCCTTGAAGTCACTGGCATACATAGTACGGTAACCGTAAAAACAGTTTACAAGTATCAAGACCACTTAAAAACACTGGCATACATAGTACGGTAACCGTAAATATAAAAGTGTACAAGTATGAAGACCCCTTAAAATCACTGGCATACATCGTACCGTAACCATAAACACAGTTTACAAGTACCAAGACTGCTTAAAATCACTGGCACCAGTACATTTCCCAGCAGTTTTTTCTGCAGCGTGGCTGCATGCTCGCTGCGTCTGGCGGGATGAACCAGCTCAGTGCTGCTGCTTCATGAAATACATGTAGGCAAAAACAGCCCTTGCATGCGACACGATTTGCGTGGATGTATAAATTGCGAAGAAGCCCGCCAGTTCATTCCGCCAGATGTGGCGCACATGCAGCTGCGTTGTAGAAAAAATGTCTGCATGCACACTGCATCTGGCGGAATGAACCGGGCTGCTGCCGCTTCGTCCCTTCCTGAAACATACATCCAGGCAAAGCAGGCCTTGCCTGGCATTACGTGGCATATGGTGTTCCCCTGTGATGTTTGATGTGAGCAACACAAACATGATTAGCAAAACCTATGACATGACTTTTCATTAAATTCGAAATATTTTGCTCGCTTTACGACATCAAACAAGGTGAACTTTTTTTTCTTGTCACCTTTGACCCTTCCCGATGGCATTTTGCTCGAACGAGTTATTTACGAAGAAGCATGCCGGCTCATCCCGCCAGATGCACTGCGCACGCAGCCACGTTGTGAAAAAATGGCTGGGAAGCGTATTGGCTGAAGCTGCCTGAAATATTCATGACGGCAAAACAGAGCTTGCATGCAACACATTTTGCCTCGATAAGTACTTATCTGCAAAGAAGCACACCGATCATCCCGCCAAATACGCTGCATGCAGGCAGCCGCATCATAGAAAAATGGCTGGGAAACGAACTGGTGGTTCTAACAGGGCTAATAATAACATTGTCATACTTTCTGAATACCCAACTTCTATGGCTCAGATCAGAACTTTTCACCATGGTAATTATAGCAAGAACATGGCACTTAGCAAGAACAAGAAACAAATTGGGTCTAATCGCAAGAAAAACATGTTAACTTAGAGACAAACTTCTGACAATTGCCCTATTTACAGCTGTGAATCTGTGATGACCAATGACCATGAGTTCTTGTCGGGTAACACGGTAGGTGATTGGAACTTGGGACATGACATGCAACTTGATGCAAGCTGAGTTAAAAAGTTTGATGCTCGTAAATTCCCTGGGTGCCAGTGGGTGGTCGTTACTATGTTCTTATCTGAGCTGCCTGAGCAAAGGAAGTTTGGTATTTAACAAGTATGTATGTATGTATGAGTATGTTATTGCTATAAGTGGTCTTGATACTTGTAAACTGTTGTACGACAACATCAGCAAAACATAATGATCAGTGATCACGCGTTCTATACGGGGAAGATGGTAGCGAGCGGAATCTAGCAGCCATTCTTCATCTTCATGCATCAATCCATCACCATGGACGGATAGCTTCATGAACCTTACCGTCATTCAGAGTGTGTTCAGGCTTAGAAAGCATCAGGCTGTATCATGATTGCAAACTTGGTCAGGTTCGTCACCGTTCGTGTTCTTTTGTTTAGGAGGGGGAGTGGGCGACGGATTGGAACGGGGGAGTGGGGGATGGCTGAGGGAGGGCCAGGCCCGCAGGGTGGTCTAGTAGGACACATGCATGTCTATAACATTCAAGCTCTCGAGCGGTAATAGGTCACGTTTTCACTTTACTATACCTATTAGGCTATTAGGCCATGAGGGCCTGAACGCTATAGACACATATCCTCATGTAAGGTGCAGGCTCTACCCCGGTCATAAATTTATGGATCCGTCAAAGGTGTAGAGACTCTAGAGAGAGCCAGTCGTGACAGGCCTGACCGGTGCGAACAAACACTGCTGCGGCTAGGCTGGGTGATGAATAATCCTATGGGCCTCGCTGCACTACACAACACTCTATATGCATTTCGTCGCTTTCTGGACCAGGTGCACTCGGACGAGTCCAACGTTTTGATTGTTGTTTAGTGGAGCGAGGCGGCGAGGCCCCATGATGCACCTCCTAATCGGGCAGAATTGCAAATAACAAACCGGTCGGCCTGACCGGTCAGAGCTGGGTGACCATAAGAAATCCAAAAAAATAAATAAAAGAAATCGGTGGTGCTGAATGATCCCAAGGAATCCGATGCACTTCCTAATCCCGCAAGATTGCAAGTTTCCAAACCGGCCTCCTTTTTCGAATTTAACAATGCATTTCTGGTGACCAAAAGGGTCCGGGGAGAAAACCTTTTTTCCCTGAAAAGAGCTAAAAAAACTCTTTCCACGCTGCGCTTAGTAGTGAGTCTCCCGGGAAAAAATAATAATAATAAATAAATAAAATCTTAGTAAGTTCAGGGTAACTCCTATCCGTGACGGAATGCGGTGGTCAGACCGTGCCATGTCAACACACTGAACACAGTCATAGCACTCAGTGATACACAAAAGGGAGAGACCATGTAAGTCACCTCACATGTGATAACTCGAAAGCTCAAACACTATTAAATAATAAACAATGAACACAGGAGCTTCCTTGACCACAATAGCAGCATAGCTTTTTAGCTATGGCATGATCTAGCTATAGTCGCTACTAAGTCGACTCTTCAAAGTTAATACTAAACAATTAATGAACACAGGAGTTTCTCTGGCCACCATAGCCTTTTCGCTATACCGTGACCTAGCTATAGCCTATAGTCACTCTCCTTCCCCTCGCAATCGTCGTCGTCCGAGAAGTACAGCGCTGGCTATCCCTTACTACCGTCTTCCCCCGCACACAACGCACCCTGATACTATACCAACAATTATTTCCGGTCCACTGCGGCCAAAACGAGGGTGCGTTGTGTTCGGGGGGAGACGGTAGTTTCAATCGGCAGTGCCCCAACTTCAAATTCGACAATCCATTTCTCG